TTGAGGGGGGGAGGGCGAGGGGGGGTAGGGGGACTTAACGAGGGTCATAGAGCACCTTACGGTCAGGTTAAAGGTCACGTTAACTTATCTTACGTGTTACCGTGGGTAGGGCCTGGGCAGGTTGCGAGTTGGGTTAAAGAGAGAGAGAGAGAGAGAGAGAGAGACCATCTGCGCGGTACTGTACAGAAGGGCAGCTGAGCTTGTGGGGTGGTGGTGGTGGTGGTGGGGGGTAGGATGGGGGGTTGGTTGATGGGGGGTCGTGGTGGGGGGTAGGATGGGGGGATGCAGGTGTGGGGAGGGGGGTTGTGGTGGTGGCAGACGGAAGGAACCCAGAAGCCACATGCAAAACGTCTGGGGGCCAAGATTCTCCAATCTGCCTCTGTGGGCAGCCATGACCAATGTGGCTCATGGTCCCTGAGAGAGAGAGAGAGAGAGCGAGAGAAAGGCGATGGTCCCTGCTAACCCTTAAAAGAGAGAGAGAGAGAGAGAGAGAGAGAGAGGAGAGAGAGAGAGAGAGAGAGAGAGAGGCTTATGGCCTGCTAACCTGTAAGAGAGAGAGAGAGAGAGAGGCAGACAGATAGACAGAATAATTGAGAGGGGAAAGAAGGGGGAGAGAGAATAATTGAGAAGGGAGGGAGAGTGAGAGAGCCCTAACATTTCTGGCTTGCGGTCCCTGCTAGCACGGGAGAGTGTTGCAGACAGACAGACAGACAGACAGGCAGACAGACAGACAGACAGACAGACAGACAGGGCAGAGACAGACAGGCAGGCAGACAGAAAGGATGGATGGATAGAGAAATGATTCAAGGTTTATAGTTATGCTTGTGGATAGACAGTTGAAGTAATGAGGCAGGATAAGCTTGCTGGACTGGTGGTAAATAGTTAAGAGGGGAAGGATAGATGGATAGATTGAGGATATAATGATGAGATGTCTAGCCTGGAGAAGGTGAGGTGAGGTGGAGGGAAGTGAAGTGAAGGAGGGGGAGAGGATATGAGGTGAGGGAAGGTGAAGTGAGATAAGTGAAGTGAGGTGATGTGGGTGGAAGTGAGGTGAGGTGAAGTGAAGGAGGAGAGAGAAGGAGGTGAGGGGAAGGTTGAAGTGAGGTGAGGGGAATGAAGTGAAGGAGGGGGAGAGAAGAGGGTGAGGGAAGGAAGGAGGTGATTTGAGGGAAGTGAGGGGAGGAGAGAAGAAGACTCCAGGAGCTGTTAGGAGGGAGTCATCCTGGGAGTGAGGGTATGACCTTAGAGAGGAGGGGAGGGGGAAGGAGAGGGAGGGAATTGCAGGAAGGGAGATTGAGGGGAGGAGGGAGGGAGGGGAGAGGAACAATTTGAGGAGGAGGAAATGGGGGAATGGGAGGTGAATATGGGAGGTTGTGACAAGTAATGGGGAGAGGGATGGTGGGGGGGGTGAGAGGGGGGGTGAGGGGATCGTGTGTGTGTTTGACCAAGATTATAAGGTGAGAGAGAGAGAGAGAGAGAGAGGAGAGAGAGAGAGAGGCCATACAGATTGGGTGAAAAAAATGGAGTTGGATTGACATAAAATTAAGAAAGAAAAAATATGGATTAGGTGACAGAGACAAAGACGGATTGGGAGAGACACTTAAGATTGGGTCAGACGAAGAGAAGAGAGGAGAGGAAGGGAGAGAAAAGGGGGAAAAAGAATGATAAGAGAGGAGGAGGAGGAGTGAAGGAGAGGGGACAGGTGAGTGAGTGAAAAGGAGAGAGGGATAAGACTTTGTTGTGTTTTTAAAAGCTGTGAAAGAGGGTTTGGAAATTAATGGATAAACTGAGGAGAGAGAGAGAGAGAGAGAGAGAGAGAGAGAGAGAGAGAGAGAGAGAGGTTGGGTGAGTGGGGTTGTTATTATATTTTGTTGTGGTTCTGATCACAATTTAAAGAGACATTATTATGAAGACCAAACAACACCCTTTATGATGTGTGTGTGTGGTGTGTGTGTGTGTGTGTGTGTGTGTTGTAGTGAGTCGTACACAGAGGATAAAGCCATGACTGTCTGGCGTAGGCCATCACCTGCAGAAGACGTCTTTGATATTCCACACGAGCGTGACGGAAGGCCAGGGCTGAGGGCTGGTAGGAAACAGTGTATCACCTCTTCTCACAGTTCTCATCAGTTCTTGGTATCGAGAGTTTTTTAATAGAACATAGTAAACCATCCACGTAACGGATATTGATCTGATATTATAGTCCCTATATAGAGGTCACATCTAACGGACAGTACCTCGATATACGGACGAGACTCCCTATATAGTCCGTTAAAAAGAGGTCTCACTATATGGCGGTACTGATTTAATTGATATTAAAGGTATGTTATATTGTCTGGTGGGTGGTAAACCTTTGAGGTCCCGGAACCCGACCCGTGAACCCTAACCCCGAGTCCGACCCGTGAACCCAACCCCGGAGTCCGACCCGTGAACCCAACCCCGAACCCAACCCCTGAACCGACCCAGAACTCCCCTGAGTCCGACCCAGAACCAACCCTGGAGTCCGACCCCATGAACCCAACCCCGGAATCCAACCCCCGGAACCCGACCCAGGAACCCAACCCCGAGTCCGACCCCGTGAACCCAACCCCTGAACTCCAACCCCGGGAACCCGACCCCGTGAACTCCAACCCCGGAGTCCGACCCCGTGAACCCAACCCCCGGAACCCAACCCCCGGAACCCAACCCCCGAACCCAACCCCCTGAACCCAACCCCCTGAACCCAACCCCCGGAACCCAACCCCTGGAACTCAACCCCGGAACCCAACCCCGAACCCATCCCCTGAAACCCCCCGAAACCCACCCCGAAACCCCGAAACCCAACCCCTGAAACCAACCCCCGATACCCAACCCGGAACCCAACCCGAACACCCTGGAACCCAACCCCGGAACCCCGAAATCCAACCCCCGGAACCCAACCCCTTAAATAACAGGCGTCTGTCTCATCTATGTTGCACCTTAGATTATGTTATGTTATGTTATGTTGTGTTATGTTAAAGAAGTGTTATGTTATGTTGTGTTATGTAAAGGAAAATGTTATGTTGTGTTGTGTTGTGTTATGTTATGTTATGTCAGCATCCTTGCCTCGTAAGCGAGTGGACCTGTCTGATCCCCAGGCAGGGTGAAACTTTGGGCAAGTTTCTTTACGCCATTTGCCTCTGTCTACCCAGCAGTAATTGGGAACCTGGATGTTAATCGACTTGCGGATCGTATATTCCCGGGTAATGGTTAGCCAGTGCAGTTGGCGAGTTGTCCGGTCTTCTCGGATTATTCCCTGACACTGGATCTTGCAACTCGTTAACTCAGGGTGTGGTTGTTGTGTTGGCGACAGCTTCTACACCTTTAACAAATTCACACCTAGGTGGCCCTTGGGCCGGCCATCCTCGTACACGAAGCAACCATTATTATTATAAGGAAGTGTTATGTTATGTTAAGGACTTGTTGTGTTATGTTATGTTGTGTTATGTTATGTTAAGGACTTGTTGTGTTATGTTATGTTGCGTTGTGTTGTGTTATGTTATGTCGCGTTGTGTTATGTTGTGTTGTGTTGTGTTATGTCGCGTTGTGTTATGTTGCGTTGTGTTGTGTTGTGTTGTGTTATGTTATGCGTTGTGTTGTGTTGTGTTGTGTTGTGTTGTGTTGTGTTGTGAGATGTTAATTTTTTTTGTTACGTTATGTTATGTTCAGGAAGTGTTATGGAGTTTCTTTTCAATAGGATATGTTATGTGTTATACTGTAAGGAATATCAGGATACTTTAGGATTGGATATTCTACATAATTAGCGAGATATCCTACAAAGGAAACTACAGGAGGATTTATTATACTCGAGGATTATTTCTGTAGGATTAAAGGACAATTCACTGGGTATAATTACTGATGTGGAGGATTTAATAACTCATGTGGAGGATTTAATTACTTATGTGGAGGATTTAATAACTCATGTGGAGGATTTAATTACTTATGTGGAGGATTTAATTACTCATGTGGAGGATTTAATTACTCATGTGGAGGAGGATTTAATTACTCATGTGGAGGATTATTCCATTTTCTCTGTAATTTGGATTCAGATTTCGCTCACAGTGCCAGAATCCGGAGCCGTGCCACGGTCTTGTAAGTTTTGGCACTCCAGACCCTCCGTGGATGCCAAGAACGGTGCCTGACTCACTACTTCTGGGATATATCTGACCTACAAGCCCTGATACATCTGACTTACCAGTTCTGACTCATCTTTGCTGACACACATACTTCTGACCTCCCTGATTCATTCCTTCTTCACACACACACACACACCTGACTCACTACTTCTGACACTCACACACACACCTGACTCACCAACCTGACACACACACACACACACACCTGACTCACCACCTCTAACACACACACCGGACTCACCACCTCTAACACACACCTGACTCACCACCTCTAACACACACCTGACTCACCACCCTCTAACACACACACACACACACGCACAGACAGACTTGACTCACCTCCTATAACACACACACACACACACACCTGACTCACCACCTTAACACACACACACACACACCTGACTCACCACCTCTAACACACACACACACCTACCTGACTCACCACCCTCTAACACACACACACACCTGACTCACACCTCTAACACACACACACACCTGACTCACCACCCCACACACACACCTGACTCACCACCTCTAACACACACACACACCTGACTCACCACCTCTAACACACACACACCTGACTCACCTTCTAACACACACACCTGACTCACCACATTGATCACCATTTTTATTTCCATCACTTTTTTTTACATTTAATCACATAAATAGTAATTGTAATACCTCATATTTGATCAGGATATCTTGATCATTGATTCTGTTCCTCATTACAATATTTGATCAACTGTAGTTCATGTTATTTTCTGATCAGTTATTGTAGTTGATCAACTTTTGTTCATGTTATTACCTGATCAATGATTCTTAATGACTAATTCTTTTCTCTACAGACTGGCCGGACAAACCTCCCTCGACAGAACCATGGTTAACGTGTGATGGTGAGTGTGTGTTGGTGAGGGTGTGTTGGTGAGGGTGTGTTGGTGAGGGAGTGTTGGTGAGGGTGTGTTGGTAGAGAGACAAGGGAACCACCACCACCACCACCAGCCTTCAGCTTCACGTGCCCAAGTCTCCTCAATATTCGTATGTTACACCTTGGCTGTTTACCTGCCTTTAATAACCTCACCAACCACCTCGTTATCATCAGCTGAGCTTGTTGGGTGTTGTGTCTGTCGCACCTGCACCTCAATCACACAGTATCCGGTGCTATTACGAACGCCACTGTAGGCAGAGGCGAGGCGTACGTACCTTCGTCTGACGTGAACTACAACAATGGCAACATTTCCTGGGCCTGGAGGGGGATCGCCAGACGCTAACTATCACCCGTCCTGGCATTTGTGTTTAAACGTCCCAATAAAGCGGTGAGGTGTGTTTGGTGGACGTTGGCAGCGTCCGTCGGTTTGTGTGTACCAGGGAGTAACAGGAGTGTCCATGTACCAGGGAGTAACAGGAGTGTCCATGTACCAGGGAGTAACAGGGAGTGTCCATGTACCAGGGAGTAACAGGGAGTGTCCATGTACCAGGGAGTAACAGAGTGTCCATGTACCAGGGAGTAACAGGAGTGTCCATGTACCAGGAGTAACAGGAGTGTCCATGTACCAGGGAGTAACAGGAGTGTCCATGTACCAGGGAGTAACAGAGAGGGTCCATGTACCAGGAGTAACAGGAGAGGTCCATGTACCAGGAGTAACAGAGGAGTGTCCATGTACCAGGAGTAACAGGAGTGTCCATGTACCAGGGAGTAACAGGAGTGTCCATGTACCGGAGTAACAGGGAGTGTCCATGTACCAGGGAGAACAGGGAGTGTCCATGTACCAGGAGTAACAGGAGTGTCCATGTACCAGGAGTAACAGGAGGTCCATGTACCAGGAGTAACAGGGAGGTCCATGTACCAGGGAGTAACGAGGTCCATGTACCAGGGAGTAACAGGAGTGTCCATGTACCAGGAGTAACAGGGAGTGTCCATGTACCAGGGAGTAACAGGAGTGTCCATGTACCAGGGAGTAACAGGAGTGTCCATGTACCAGGGAGTAACAGTGTCCATGTACCAGGGAGTAACAGAGTGTCCATGTACCAGGGAGTACAGGAGTGTCCATGTACAGAGTACAGGAGTCCATGTACCAGGGAGTAACAGGAGTGTCCATGTACCAGGAGTAACAGGGAGTGTCCATGTACCAGGAGTAACAGGAGTGTCCATGTACAGGGAGTAACAGGAGTGTCCATGTACCAGGGAGTAACAGGAGTGTCCATACCAGGGAGTAACAGGAGTGTCCATGTACCAGGAGTAACAGGGAGTGTCCATGTACCAGGAGACAGGAGTGTCCATGTACCAGGGAGTAACAGGAGTGTCCATGTACCAGGGAGTAACAGGAGTGTCCATGTACCAGGGAGTAACAGGGGAGTGTCCATGTACCAGGGAGTAACAGGAGTGTCCATGTACCGGGGTAACAGGGTGTCCATGCCAGGGAGTAACAGGAGTGTCCATGTACCAGGGGTAACAGGGTGTCCATGTACCAGGGAGTAACAGGGTGTCCATGTACCGGGAGTAACAGAGTGTCCATGTACCAGGGAGTGGGAGTGTCCATGTACCAGGGGAGTAACAGGGTGTCCATGTACCAGGGAGTAACAGGGTGTCCATGTACCAGGGAGTAACAGGGGGTGTCCATGTACCAGGGGTAACAGGAGTGTCCATGTACCAGGGGTAACAGAGGAGTGTCCATGTACCAGGGAGTAACAGGAGTGTCCATGTACCAGGGAGTAACAGGGGTGTCCATGTACAGGGAGTAACAGGGAGGTGTCCATGTACCAGGGGTAACAGGAGTGTCCATGTACCAGGGAGTAACAGGGAGTGTCCATGTACCAGGGGAGTAACAGGGAGTGTCCATGTACCAGGGAGTAACAGGAGTGTCCATGTACCAGGGAGTAACAGGAGTGTCCATGTACCAGGGAGTACAGGAGTGTCCATGTACCAGGGTGTAACGAGGGTGTCCATGTACAGGGAGTAACAGGGTGTCCATGTACCGGGAGTAACAGGGGTGTCCATGTACCAGGGAGTAACAGGGTGTCCATGTACCAGGGAGTAACAGGGGAGTGTCCATGTACCAGGGAGTAACAGGAGTGTCCATGTACCAGGGGAGTAACAGGGAGTGTCCATGTACCAGGTAACAGGGGAGTGTCCATGTACCGGGGTAACAGGAGTGTCCATGTACCAGGGAGTAACAGGGAGTGTCCATGTACCGGGAGTAACAGGGGTGTCCATGTACCAGGGAGTAACAGGGGTGTCCATGTACCAGGGGTAACAGGAGTGTCCATGTACCAGGGAGTAACAGGGTGTCCATGTGCCAGGGAGTAACAGGGGAGTGTCCATGTACCAGAGTAACAGGGTGTCCATGTACCAGGGAGTAACAGGAGTGTCCATGCCAGGGGTAACAAGGGTGTCCATGTACCAGGGGTAACAGGGGTGTCCATGTACCAGGGGTAACAGGAGTGTCCATGTACCAGGGAGTAACAGTGTCATGTACCAGGGAGTAACAGGAGTGTCCATGTACCAGGGGTAACAGGGGTGTCCATGTACCAGGAGTAACAGGGTGTCCATGTACCAGGGGTAACAGAGGTGTCCATGTACCAGGGAGTAACAGGGGAGTGTCCATGTACCAGGGAGTAACAGGAGTGTCCATGTACCAGGGTAACAGGGTGTCCATGTACCGGGGTGACAGGGGTGTCCATGTACCAGGGAGTAACAGGGGTGTCCATGTACCAGGGTAACAGGGTGTCCATGTACCAGGGAGTAACAGGGTGTCCATGTACAGGGAGTAACAGGAGTGTGTGTCCATGCCAGGGAGTAACAGGGTGTCCATGTACCAGGGAGTAACAGGAGTGTCCATGTACCAGGGGTAACAGGAGTGTCCATGTACCGGGGTAACAGGGTGTCCATGTACCAGGGAGTAACAGGGGAGTGTCCATGTACCAGGGAGTAACAGGAGTGTCCATGTACCAGGGAGTAACAGGAGTGTCCATGTACCAGGGAGTAACAGGGGTGTCCATGTACCAGGGAGTAACAGGAGTGTCCATGTACCAGGGAGTAACAGAGTGTCCATGCCAGGGAGTAACAGGAGTGTCCATGTACAGGGAGTAACAGGAGTGTCCATGTACCAGGGAGTAACAGGAGTGTCCATGTACCAGGAGGTAACAGGAGTGTCCAGTACCAGGGAGTAACAAGTGTCCATGTACCAGGGAGTAACAGGGAGTGTCCATGTACCGGGAGTAACAGGAGTGTCCATGTACCGGGGAGTAACAGGAGTGTCCATGTACCAGGAGTAACAGGGTGTCCATGTACCAGGGATAACAGGGTGTCCATGTACCAGGGAGTAACAGGGAGTGTCCATGTACCAGGGAGTAACAGGGTGTCCATGTACCAGGGGGTAACAGGGAGTGTCCATGTACCAGGGGTAACAGGTGTCCATGTACCGGGGTGAGGGTGTCCATGTACCAGGGAGTAACAGGGGCCATGTACCAGGGAGTAACAGGGTGTCCATGTACAGGGAGTAACAGGGGTGTCCATGTACCAGGGAGTAACAGGAGTCATGTACCAGGGGTAACAGGTGTCCATGTACCAGGGAGTAACAGGAGTGTCCATGTACCAGGGAGTAACAGGGAGTGTCCATGTACCAGGGAGTAACAGGGGTGTCCATGCCAGGAGTAACAGGAGTGTCCATGCCAGGGGTAACAGGAGTGTCCATGTACCAGGGAGTAACAGGGGAGTGTCCATGTGCGGGAGTAACAGGTGTCCATGTGCAGGGAGTAACAGGGGTGTCCATGTACAGGGAGTAACAGGGAGTGTCCATGTACCAGGGAGTAACAGGGTGTCCATGTACCGGGAGTAACAGGGTGTCCATGTACCAGGGAGTAACAGGGTGTCCATGTACCAGGGAGTAACAGGGGAGTGTGTCCATGTACCAGGGAGTAACAGGGGTGTCCATGTACCAGGGGGTAACAGGGTGTCCATGTACCGGGGTAACAGGGAGTGTCCATGTACCAGGAGTAACAGGGTGTCCATGTACAGGGAGTAACAGGAGTGTCCATGTACCAGGGAGTAACAGGTGTCCATGTACCGGGAGTAACAGGGGTGTCCATGTACCGAGGCAGGGAGTGTCCATGTACCAGGAGTAACAGGAGTGTCCATGTACCAGGGGTAACAGGGTGTCCATTACCGGGGTAACAGGAGTGTCCATGTACAGGGGGTAACAGGAGTGTCATGCCAGGGGAGTAACAGGGGAGTGTCCATGTACCGGGAGTAACAGGAGTGTCCATGTACCAGGGAGTAACAGGAGTGTCCATGTACCAGGGAGTAACAGGAGTGTCCATGTACCAGGGAGTAACAGGAGTGTCCATGTACCAGGGAGTAACAGGGAGTGTCTCATGTACCAGGGAGTAACAGGGAGTGTCCATGCCAGGGAGTAACAGGAGTGTCCATGTACCGGGGAGTAACAGGGGAGTGTCCATGTACCAGGGAGTAACAGGAGTGTCATGTACCAGGGAGTAACAGGAGTGTCCATGTACCAGGGAGTAACAGAGTGTCCATGTACCAGGGAGTAACAGAGGTGTCCATGTACAGGGAGTAACAGGGTGTCCATGTACCAGGGGTAACAGGGAGTGTCCATGCCAGGGAGTAACAGGTGTCCATGTACCAGGGAGTAACAGGTGTCCATGTACCAGGAGTAACAGGAGTGTCCATGTACCAGGGTAACAGGGTGTCCATGTACCAGGGGAGTAACAGGGGTGTCATGTACCAGGGGTAACAGGGGTGTCCATGTACCGGGAGTAACAGGGTGTCCATGTACCAGGGAGTAACAGGGAGTGTCCATGTACCAGGGGTAACAGGGTGTCCATGTACCAGGGAGTAACAGGGTGTCCATGCCAGGGGTAACAGGAGTGTCCATGT